GCTAAGGAAGGAGCAGGAGCATGACCAACTATTCCAGCCAGACCATGAAGAAGATCACGAGCTGATGAGCCGATGCACACAATCTGAGGGGTAAATTCCCTCCCTTCCCAAACACCACGTGATTTCCTACCCCATAAAAAGTCTAAGTGCTTGATTTGTATGAATTTTACTCACAGTGACAAATGCAAGAAGCTGTAGTTAACATTCAAGAAACATAATGCAAAATCAAGAGAAATGGAAACGTGCCAAGTGATCACTTCCCTGACTTGTTTTTTCAGTCACTGTATTTAAATCCCACATAAACTCAAAGATCTTTTCGCAGTGTATGAAGACAAATATTTGTTGGTCAACAGATGACCCCTGCTGGTGTGCAAAATCAGGAAAATCTAGGCCAACTGATTGATAAATTCAACTAAAAAAATACCTCATTTATTATTTTTTCTGGCCTCCTTTGTGCATATTTTCCTGTGGTTTGTACTTCACTTTGATTAATCACATCACTCCATCAACACTGTATCTCTTCAGTCTATTTACCAAAGGATTACATGTCGCCTTCCTTTCTTACACTTCTCTCCATAATCAACCACATGCTATTCATTTATCAGTACCATCTTCTCATCACTGCTCCATGTGTCCAAAAATTTCCCTCTGATCATTTTCAAACAAGTTCCTGGCAAACTTCTTGTCTCATTGTCTGTTTATTTGGAATATGTGATTATAGTAACAGCTTCTGTTTTCAGAGCTTCTGCACAATTTGTGGTGTACATGCTTTTATCACTAATACCATCATTATTGGTACGCTTTTTTCTGTTTTGTCCTATTCATTTGACTTTGACCTAACTTTTAAGAGAGTTCACCAAAAATTCACATTATTTGGCCACGGATCCTTTATCCATGATCAATTCATCTTTTCAGGAAGAGTCCATCTGTTTTTTCAGTTGGTATTATCATCACAGCTCTACATAGCTGTACTGACGTCTCTTGGTAGTTCACTGAATAACTCCAACCCTCTCACCAGCAGGGGTGGAAATGTGGGGAATGAGGTTGGGCGAGGCATTCACATCAATACACTGATAAGGGTACTTTATAGTGCTAAATGAAGCTTCTTTATTTAACTTTACCATGTCAATCTAACAAGTCAGATCAGCTGTGCATTACATTTTTTTTTCTCTACATGATGTTGCACACACTTTCATTTCTAGAAATTATACATTCCACATTGTGAATTGTTTGTGCTGTTCTTTGGACTTTGCTGTTCTTGTGACTCTCTTGGATATCCAGGAAGGGACTTTCCTTGTATGCATATTTAACTAGATTGTTAAAGATAGATATTTCTGATGTAAGCACCCTGGAGACATGCAACAGTATACTGTCATCTCTTTTGGTAGGAGGTTCCACATTCAGCATCCAGCTACTGGGAGATTTCTGCCTGCAGCTTTCCCAAGCCTCCTTCTACCGGTCAGCAGCTTGTGTGCCAGTTCCTAACAGAGAACAATTTTTTTTGTTAAAAAAACACCCTTATTTGCCTCAAATAACTGCTAAAATCTTGTCACTTTGGATTACATCTTATCTTGCCTTCCAGCTTCTTGTTAAGTTTAAAAGTATGCGTTCCTTATAGAAAACTTTGTGCAGCTTATAATGTGTCCCAGAATTTTCATTTCTTCCTTTTCATTTCTTCTTTCCATTTCATTTAAGTGTTGCCATGTTAGTCTCCAACAACATTTCCGCCTTAGGGACCTTCACCTTAATCACATTCTGGTTGTATTAACTCTGTGGTTTAAATAGAATTTTTTCTTCAGTCCTCTCCTCTGTCACGTAGAGCTATTGCAGTACGTCCATTGCAAGATGTAGCCATTTCTGAAGCTGAGATATTATTTCTCTACATTTGTTTTCATGAAAAAGCCTAATTTCTGAGGGGAGTTTATAGAGACCACAACCTCTCTGGAACAAAACTCATTCTGTGAACTTCAAATTAAATGCTGAAAGTGATAACCAAAAATGAAACAAGCAAATAAATAATGTTACATTTGCATTTCTAGTGGGTGTTTAGTACTTGTTCTGTAGAAAAGTTTCTGTACTCATGTACATGCAAACTCAGACCAAATGGAACTGGTTTGAGTTCGGGTTTTTTTGCTTGGTTGGTTGGTTGGTTTGATTTGGGGTTTTTTGCACTGCATCTTATTGTAAACATGTATATTGAGGGCATGAGACATTGTGGAATCTATTTCAGGAAACAGCTTGTCATAAATTTGGTTTCATTATGTTGTGACAACTTCCACAGCCTTAGTGAGACCCGCAGGTAGGACTTAACTGGGGTCCAAGAGCCTCTATAAGGGAGAATATGTTTAGTTCTTTAGTTTCATGTAAAGCATTTTCTGAGAGATTAAGTTGAGAACCAGTTGTTGTAATACTGAAGTGATATTTTTAGAGAGAGCAGCATTGAAGGGTTTAGAACTGGAAACGTATGAAAATTTGCTATCATCATCATCACCACGATCATGTCCTTCTCTTTTCTCTTTTTTAATTAAATAAACTAATTTAAAAAATAATTAGCAGTAGCATATCAACATAGAGATATAGTATCTGTGCATTTTTCTTAATAATTAAGCTTCAGCTATGGGTTTTCTGCCTTGCTTGTTGTCTGGAATTCCTTATTTATATGTAATTTTTATGTTTATTTTTCAATGTTAAGAAAAAGTACACTACAAAAAAGGCAAAAATTTATCATGTAGTTAAGGCACTAGACAGGAATTCGCACTGAATCCCACTGGTGCTACAGGTTCTTTCTGTGACCTTGAGCAAATCACTTAATCTCTTTGTACCTCTGCTCCTCATTTATTTTTTAAAGGATGATAATACTTCTTCTGTCTCTGTATTTACATTGCAAACTCCTTTTACTCTGTGTTTTATATGATTCTTGTTGCAAGAAGGATCTTATCTGAGAATTCTTATTATAGAGTTGTTTTCATCTGTGCAAAAAGCAATATATTCTGTATGATAGGTTATCCTGTATGATAGGTTATCTTGAGCTATGACCTGGCTGTATAAGGAGTTACTATTATTCTTAGTGCACCAGAAGCGTGTTGGAGACTCAGTAAGACTCAGCGCTCCAATGTTGCATGGCTCTTTTATCAAGAAATGATGGGCTGGTCTTACAAAGGCTTTCTCTGTAGCAGTAAAATAAATGTGCTTGGAAATTACTCTTCTACCACCCTTGAAGACAACCTGCACGAAATGACCTGCATCCATAAGATTAAACTCAGCCAGCGCTAAGGCAGGCAGGCTGCCTGCATACAGTCTATTGGGAATGGTTCCTCGCTTGTAGTAGGTCCCAAACTATATCCTGGAGTCTCATGAGAGCTTTCTGGGCCAAAAATTCAATCGTGTGGGAAAGACAAAGAAACATTTGCAGGCTCTGTTTAACAGTGGCCAGCCACACCGTGCACTCTCACTACCCATTCTGCTTCTGTATATAGTCATATACTTATAATCTATCCCAGTCTTGCTTGATGCAAGTCCTAAGGCTGGAAAGGAAGAAAGTGAGCTGAAAAAGGAGCTTTTCTAGTAGTAAAATATATGAAACTTGACATTAAAAATAGTTCAAAGCAAGTCCAGTCAAAATTCAGAAAAATGCACTTTCTGTTGAAACTACTCCATAATTCGTTAAGCATTCCCTGGATGAGGGAGTGAGACTATGGATGAGTTGTTCACGTCATTCCAGTTTATATTTATGGTTTTTATATCAAGATGATCAGTTTGGTGATTAAAGCATTCATTTGGTAGGTAGACAATATGGCTTTACATCCCCTGAGACAGTGAGAGGATTTGAACTTGTCTCCTGTATATTTGTAAGAAAGCCTGGGATTGGTAGAGAGTGAAGAACCACATCATTTTTGGCTGTGCTCTGAGAGAGGAGACCGGTCTTTTTCCTCAGTTCTTGCAAGAAGGCATTTAGGCATCCAGCTCTGAGCCTCCTAAACAGGTCTGCAGTCCTGAACACAAACCTCATGCCTAAGAAAGAGTCAGGCTAAAGACTAAAGACTCAGCACTTCCCTCTACCTTACCCAGGGGCCTCCTGGTTATTATGGTTCAATCTTCTTGGTACAAGGTCACATCTTTTGACTCATGCCTGCCTCATATCTAAAGTATTTGAAGCAAAGCTCATTTGTGGATTTTTTTTAGTCTCTAGTGCACATCAGAAAGGGAAATTTAAGTCTATGCTTTGATATTGCTGAAATCTGGAGGTACAGGCATAGTCTGTCCAAGTTTGTGTCCCATCAGGTTTTGAGGTGACAGCTAAGGCTGGTGTCAGGCAGGTGAGGTGCCTAAGAGGTTCCCCACAGAACAGCCCAAGCTGACAGCCAGCACAGGGAGAGCTGATAGGATGCACTGGTGTCAAAAAATCACCGTTGTGCCCATCCCAGCTACGCGCTTCTCAGGTCTGTCATCAGGGGCTTGTTGGATCAGGAAATACACTGGTTTAGATTTCTCTCCAGCTTACACTAATAATAACAGAGACACAATAAATGTGACCCCATACTCTAAGTGCACAGGGCCTGCAAGCCTAGCTCCTGGTTACTGATGCCTTGCTTGGCAGCAGAGCATTTAAATCTCTGTTGAAATCTAGCCCAGGCTGATTCTGAAGGGCTTAAAGGCTAAACATATCTACCTAACAACAGATCCTATTCCAATACAAGCCTCTACCCCAGCAAGACCCAGGCAGTCAAGCAGTCCTAGCAATGGTGGGTGTAGCTGAACTGTCATTGCCAGAAGTACCACCCTATCCCAGAATACACTGCCTGATGTTACCATGTGGGACAGAAAAGCAGTAGCAAACAAAAAAGTTTTTAACTACTTATTTTGCAGTTTGAAAAGATTTTGCAAGTGTGACAATCACTTTCAGCAACTGATTAAACTACCCTGCCCATTGCTCTCTGATGAGTGTTTTATGCATTCTTGTCTCTGCAGACTGAAGAAGTCCTGAAGATTGATGGAGGGCCATGCTATTCAAACAGCAGGCGTTGCTGAGACAGAAGCTCTTTGTGCTAGGCAGCCTTGCTATTGGAAGTCTCCTATATCTAGTTGCCAGAGTTGGGAGCTTGGATAGGTAAGTCACGAAGGAGCTGCTCTCTTAATTACAAATGGGCTCAGATTGTCTGAATTTTTGCTTAAAGGCTCTGATTTTATTTTTTTTTTTTAGTGTCTACTCCTGTGTAGAAAGACAGAAAGACTCTATTCTAGTACTGGGTTTTATTGTTCTTTCCTGCCCTTTGGAGAAGAGAGTAGGAAAATGGAGTCACGGGTCATCCCTGTCAAAGTATTTCTGTCTGTCCATTTGTATTCTAAGAACATTGGCACTTGTTTTCAGAGAAGAAATAAAACAGCATCTAGTAAAAATGTCATTACAGTAGCTCATTTTTGTCTGTGTGCATCTGTGTGTTGACCTCTAGTTTCAGCAAACAGTTCGGATATATTTATATATCATCTTTTCTAAATTTATGAGCAAGCAATTAATGTGCTACAGTGGTAGTTAAAATTAAGTATGAGCCTGCAGAGTAGCTCGTCAAGTTTTGAATACTATTTCACTTGAAAGAGTGCTTCAGGGTCTGAGAATTTTAACTATGTTAATTAGCCAGTATTTTCTGGAGCTGAATGTGCTAAATAAGTGGGGTTTCTCTGCAAGTGAGTTCCTGGAGAGCAGCAGAAAATTGAGCAGAGAAAATCAAAGAGTATTTGGCACTTTTGACCAGACTGAGTTTTAACTGGTTATTGACAGTGCAAACAGTAGTGCTACCTGCACTGGCACTGCTGTTTCTGTCACCTTCAAAATGGCCTGGGATTGCTCTGGCAGGTGCCACACAAAGACAGGATTAAAAAACAAGCTGTTTCAAAATAATGAATGAAACAAGACTTCAAGATTTCCAGAAGGTGGTAGGCGGCTTGCCAGTGCTAATGCTCTATTAGTGTTCTTCTTTTAAATGATAGAAAATATTAGTTGAGTTCAAAACTGTGATACAATGCTGTATGCTTAAATCCATTCCAGAAGAAGAGGGAGATTGTGTACTCAGCTAGGACCAAGTGCATTGCAAATTAAGCCCCAGTATTTATATCTTCTTTCCCCTGGTGGTCAAAGTATCTCTGATGCTTCAGAGGTGAAAACTTCACTGAGACTAATGTGATTCTGTAAATGGAAGCAGAATGCCTTACTGGTCCCTGCAAAAGTATATTTTATACTCAGAGGCGTGAAATCTAATTAACCTTATGTTATTATCTATGCTTGCACATCTTCAGAATTTACTGATGGCTATAAAATTATCTCACCACAGTATTTGACTTGCTGACCTCCTGCGGCAGTGAATTCCACCGGTTTCATATATAATGTTGCCAATGGCAGTAAAATTCAGTTTCTTTCTCTTGCATTACCCAGTGTGAAAAATACCACCCTGCTAAAAAGCAGCCCTTTATTTGGGCTGGTTATGAAAGAGAGAGAAGGGGGCACTAGAAAGGATGAGACAGAGATGAATTAACTGGAAATGTTCTTCTGCCTCAGTGCTAGGGCATAGTCCAAACTTGTTGAAGCTGTCAGTAAAAGGATACTGAGTGGCTTCAGTAGACTTTGGAATAACTAATTGTTCAGGAAGAAATCCAGATTTGTTTACACTTAATTTATGCAGCTCCAATTTGAACAAGGGAGCTGGGGATGGCCCACATTTAATAGCCTGAGATTCAGCTCTTCAACAGGAACATTCTGAGATTTCTTAGGCCCAAAGGGAAATTACCACCAGCTTATCTGATTCTTTGAGTCATAAAGTCTGATAAGCTGAGCACGTCTCTCCAGGGGAGGGAGGCCACCATCCTTCAGATCTGGAGTGCATGGAGCTGCTTTGCATGTGGAAGTTCAAACAGATTCTGTTCCTGGCAATTTTGAGAAGATCTGGACCAGTCTTTGAGTTGCCTGAGTCTCTTGTTGGGAGTATGGGGAGCCTCTGCACCTGATTTTGATGCTCAGAACTGCTCCTCCTGGGACCAGACTCATAATCTTTTGCCACTGCGACACCTCCATTGGAAGCAAATTAGCAAGTGTTCTGGATCAGGAGAGGCAGCGCTGCTGCCTGTCATTAAGATTGCCCAGGTGTGCTTTAGTTGCTTTGAAATTTGTCAAAAATATAGTTTCCTGAGATGAACAGTGGGTTTTCTCAAGAAGAATATTTGTGGAGTTTTACTGTAGCAGTTTGAGAAAGTCCCTGTTTGGGGAGAGAAAATTCAGTGATATAATAAAAGTCATGTACTCTTTCTTTGCAAAGGGCTCTGTTACTTTAATGGAAAAACTGACTCAGAGAATCAAAAATATTAACATATTGTGATATAACAGTAAATAGTTACACCCGGGGATTCAACTACAAAGATCTGACAGCCTGCTTAATGCCACCACTGCCAAGATCTTTTAAACGATATATTTTATTGTTTAGAGAGAAGAAAGGGGAAAG